GTGTATGTTGGTAAATATATGTCAAGTGTGTGTTGGTAAATATATGTCAAGTGTGTGTTGGTAAATATATGTCAAGTGTGTGTTGGTAAATATATGTCAAGTGTGTGTTGGTAAATATATGTCAAGTGTATGTTGGTAAATATATGTCAGTGTGTGTTGGTAAATATATGTCAAGTGTGTGTTGTAAATATATGTCAAGTGTGTGTTGGTAAATATATGTCAAGTGTGTGTTTGTAAATATATGTCAAGTGTGTGTTGGTAAATATATGTCAAGTGTGTGTTTGTAAATATATGTCAAGTGTGTTTGTAAATATATGTCAAGTGTGTGTTGGTAAATATATGTCAAGTGTGTGTTGGTAAATATATGTCAAGTGTGTGTTGGTAAATATATGTCAAGTGTGTGTTGGTAAATATATGTCAAGTGTATGTTGGTAAATATATGTCAAGTGTGTGTTGGTAAATATATGTCAAGTGTGTGTTGGTAAATATATGTCAAGTGTTGTGTTGGTAAATATATGTCAAATGTGTGTTGGTAAATATATGTCAAGTGTATGTTGGTTAATATATGTCAAGTGTGTGTTGGTAATATATGTCAAGTGTGTGTGTTGGTAAATATATGTCAAGTGTGTGTTGGTAAATATATGTCAAGTGTGTGTTTGTAAATATATGTCAAGTGTGTGTTGGTAAATATATGTCAAGTGTGTGTTTGTAAATATATGTCAAGTGTGTTTGTAAATATATGTCAAGTGTGTGTTGGTAAATATATGTCAAGTGTGTGTTGGTAAATATATGTCAAGTGTGTGTGTTGGTAAATTATTCAAGTGTGTGTTTGTAAATATATGTCAAGTGTGTTTGTAAATATATGTCAAGTGTGTGTTGGTAAATAAGTCTTGGTCGTGGATGAGTGGAACTAACTCCCCAGTACAGTTATTCAGGCTAAAACGTGTAGTTTTAAAAATAGGTTAGATAAATACATGAGTGGGTGTGAGTTGGACCTGACTAGCTGGTGCTGCTGGGTCTGGTGCCGTGCTCCATCCTTGAGTGGAGGTGACCAGACTAGGTGGGTCATTGGGCATATACGGGGGAGGGGTCATTGGGCTAATCTAGGAGGGGGCATGGACCTGCTCCACATGGGTCAGTAGGCCTGTTGCAGTGTTCCTTCTTTCTTATGTTCTTATGTTTATTAGACGGTTTGTAGCACTTAGCATGAAGGAGTATATTGAGTTGTTTTGTAGTGTGTATGTGTGGGTGGGTGGGTGGGTGGGTGGGTGGGTTTGGGTGTTTTAGAGAGAGAGAGAGAGAGATAGAGAGAGAGAGATGGTGACTTTAACGGTCATATAGAAAGTGATCCCTTGCAGTGTGCTTCCTCCCTTCTTCACTCTCTCTCTCTTGATGTTTCCCTCCCTCACTCTCCCTACTTCCCTCCCTCACTCTCCCTACTTCCCTCCCTCACTCTCCCTACTTCCCTCCCTCACTCTCCCTACTTCCCTCCCTCACTACATCTCAGTTCTTAATCGTTGAACCCTGTAGAGGTCAAACTGGTTAGTCTGGTTCCCTGTCAACTGATCCATCGATCGATCCAGAGGAGAGGTGAAGGGAAATCTTCCAGGTGGATCTTGTGTGGTGATGCTCACACACACTGTAAGGAGACCCGTAGCTGGGTTGGTAGCGCACTCAGCTCACACACTGAGGTCTGTGGCTCAATCTCCGGTACGGGTGAAAAGGTTGGGACGCGTTTCCTTAAGACACCTGCTGTCCCTGTTCACCTGGCAGTAAAATAGGTACCTGGGTGTTAGTTGACTGGTGTGGGCTTTCTTGGGTACTTTTGTGGAAACGTTTGCAACCACTGGCTTCATCAGTCCAGTGCAAAGAAGAATAGTTGAAGATCAGAGGGAGTTAGAGATAATCAGTCCCTCAGCCTGGAGTCTATGTGATCACATCGACTCCACTCACACACACACACACACACACACACACACACACACACACACACACACACACACACACACACACACACACACACACACACACACACACACACACACGCACACACACACACACACACACACACACACACACACACAGGGTCAGTCCTAGGACCTGTGCTGTTCTTGGTATACGTGAACGACATAACGGAAGGGATAGACTCAGAAGTGTCCTTGTTTGCAGACGATGTGAAGTTAATGAGAAGAATCGAATCGGACGAGGATCAGGCAGGACTACAAAGAGATCTGGACAGGCTACAAGCCTGGTCCAGCAACTGGCTCCTTGAATTTAACCCTGCCAAATGCAAAGTCATGAAGATTGGGGAAGGGCAAAGAAGACCGCAGACACAATATAGTTTAGATGGCCAAAGACTGCAAACCTCACTAAAGGAAAAAGATCTGGGGGTGAGTATAAACACCGAGCATATCTCCTGAGGCGCACATCAATCAGATAACTGCTGCAGCATACGGGCGCCTGGCAAACCTACGGATAGCGTTCCGATACCTCAGTAAGGATTCGTTTAAGACTCTGTACACCATCTACGTCAGGCCCATACTGGAGTATGCAGCACCAGTTTGGAATCCACACCTAGTCAAGCACGTCAAGAAATTAGAGAAAGTGCAAAGGTTTGCAACAAGACTAGTCCCAGAGCTACGGGGATTGTCCTATGAAGAAAGGTTGAGGGAAATCGGCCTGACGACACTGGAGGCCAGGAGGGTCAGGGGAGACATGATAACGACATATAAAATACTGCGCGGAATAGACGAGGTGGACAAAGACGGGATGTTCCAGAGATGGGACACAGACACAAGAGGTCACAATTGGAAGTTGAAAGACTCAGATGAATCAAAGGGATGTTAGGAAGTATTTTTTCAGTCATAGAGTAGTCAGGCCGTGGAATAGCCTAGAAAGTGATGTGGTGGAGGCAGGAACCATACATAGTTTTAAGGCGAGATATGATAGAGCTCATGGGGCAGGGAGAGAGAGGACCTAGTAGCAATCAGCGAAGAGGCGGGGCCAGGAGCTGTGACTCGACCCCTGCAACCACAAATAGGTGAGTACAAATAGGTGAGTACACACACACACACACACACACACACACACACACACACACATACCTGACCTTGGCCCGGGTCATCCGGGGTGACTATTCACCCAAATTTAAAAGTACTGCATTAGAGCACAGAGTTCTGTGGTCACATGATAAAGTTGGGGCAAACCTCCATTAGGAGTTGTTCAGTCTTCCCGTGAAGGACTGTGAGGTGGTGTATCCTGTGAGTGTAGAGTGAGGAGAGGCAAGGTTGTACCATACCTTGTTATGCTGGACCAGTGAGTGTAGAGTGAGGAGAGGCAAGGTTGTACCATACCTTGTTATGCTGGACCAGTGAGTGTAGAGTGAGGAGAGGCAAGGTTGTACCATACCTTGTTATGCTGGACCAGTGAGTGTAGAGTGAGGAGAGACAAGGTTGTACCATACCTTGTTATGCTGGACCAGCGAGTGTAGAGTGAGGAGAGACAAGGTTGTACCATACATTGTTATGCTGGACCAGTGAGGGGTAGAGTGAGGAGATGCAAGGTTGTAACATACCTTGTTATGCTGGACCAGTGAGTGTAGAGTGAGAAGAGGCAAGGTTGTACCATACACCCGTGAGTGCAGGGCCCTGGGTCTGGTGTTGTAACGCAGAGAGCAGCTTAGTGTGGTGAATCCAACAGGAAAAACACGTGGGATGACGCTACTGTTAACCCACACAGTGTAAGGCACGCTGGTCTGTTTCAAGGTCGTTCCTGCCTTGTATTGTCTTGTGTTATAATAAATACGTTTATTTCTACACGTACACGATGCAACTTATACAGACCATAGCTGACATCAATGACATACTACTGTATAGAAAACCCATGGTTATGCAAGGTGTTTCAAGTAATTTTGATTAATTTTGTCCCCACATCAGTCGACTAACACCCAGGTACCTACTTACTGCTAGGTGAACATGGACAGCAAGTGTCTTAAGGAAACATTCTCCAGTGTTTCTACCCGTACCAGGGATCGAGCCACGGACCTCAGTGTGTGAGCTGAATGCGCTAACAACCCAACTATGGGACATAATAGTGATGAAAATTAGACACATGTGCAACATCTGGGTATCTTTATTGTAGACGTTTCGCCCTCCAGTGACTTTATCAATACTGAGTCTAGGACATAACGTGAAGACAGTAGAACTATATACAGAAAATGAGGTGATCAGGCTGAGGGACTGATTACCTCATCTTTTGTATATAGTTCTTCTGTCTTCAAGTTATGCTCTGGAAATTGTATTGATAAAGCCACTGGATGGCGAAATGTCTACAATTAAAGATACCCAGGTGTTGCACACGTGTCTAATTTTCATCTTGTCGGTATGTATACCATTCATGTTGATAAATTAGACACATGTGCAACTCTTGGGTATCTTTATTGAGGAAACGATTCGCCACACAGTGGCTTCATCAGTCCATACGTAGGAGAAACTTGAAGAACAGGAGGAGAATGAGGTAATCAGTCCCTCAAACTTGAGTCGATGTGTTCAGTCCATCAATCTTGAGCAGAATACGGCATACCATTCATGTACAACGGGACACAACAGTGCTGTAGTGTGTACTGTACCATTCATGTACAACGGGACACAACAGTGCTGTAGTGTGTACTGTACCATTCATGTACAACGGGACACAACAGTGCTGTAGTGTGTACTGTACCATTCATGTACAACGGGACACAACAGTGCTGTAGTGTGTACTGTACCATTCATGTACAACGGGACACAACAGTGCTGTAGTGTGTACTGGCAAGTGTGACTGTCTACTGTTGTGTTCACTCTGAGTAAACAGTTCATAAATATTTGTGTTGACACTAAACAGAGAGGTAATGTTATAATTAGTAATACGAGTGTTTATTAATATCAGTGTTTATTAACATTAGTATTTAATAACATTAGCGTTTAGCAATGTTAGTGGTGAATAATATTATTTCTTTCCAGTCATCATGGAAAAGTCAGCGAGGTACAGTGTCAGGGTACTTCTTGGCCTCCAGGAACATGCACTGGATCCCAGTAAGTACTACATAAAAGCTGAAGATAATGTAGAATATCGTTGGTATGTCTGTGTCTAGCATTAGCATAATATTATGGAAAGCATATAATGAAACTGTTATGTATGGGAAAGTTAGAGGTGATAGTCTATTACTGTATACGTGAATGTTAAATACGTAGGAGACTTGCACTGTAACATTGATGTTCTATGTAGCCACTTAGCTTGTTAGTACTCATAGTGAATGTTGGTATTAGCTGCTTAGGCTTTGTCAGTCATACTGATAGTGAATATTAGTAGCTGGCTAGGAACGTTGACAGTATTCTGAATGTGAATGTTGTAGTCCAGGCTTAGGTGTACGATACCTACTTCTTGATAGTGATGTTGTAGTAGCCTGCATTAGGCTGGTTACAAGCACTCTGGTAGGTTAATGTTAATTAAGTACCAGGCTTAGGTCTTGTGTTACATTACTTCATGTAAGATTCATGTGTAGTACCAACAGGCATAGCTTGGTACTGACTTTGAGTATTAATGTTAGTGTACTCTGGCTAGTCTTGGTTACAAGCAAACTGAAGTTGAATAAGTTGAGTATAGCCATGACTTAGGCTGGTTATCAATACTTCTGATAGTATTGAACATTAGTGTAAGATACACTTGGCTTAGGCTGGTTATGACAAGCACTTCTGATAGTATGAATGTCTTTGAGTATGCTGGGACTTAGGCTTTGTTACAAGTACTTCTGATAGTTGAATGTTGTAGTAGCCTGGCTTAGGCTTGGTTACAAGCACTATCTGATAGTTGGAATGTTTGTAGTAGACCTGGTTAGGCTTTGTTACAAGTACTTCTGATAGTTGAATGTTGTAGTAGCCTGGCTTAGGCTTGGTTACAAGCACTTCTGATAGTTGAATGTTGTAGTAGCCTGGCTTAGGCTTTGTTACAAGTACTTCTGATAGTTGAATGTTGTAGTAGCCTGGCTTAGGCTTGGTTACAAGCACTTCTGATAGTTGAATGTTGTAGTAGCCTGGCTTAGGCTTGTTACAATGACTTCTGATAGTTGAATGTTGTAGTAGCCTGGCTTAGGCTTTGTTACAAGTACTTCTGATAGTTGACTGTTGTAGTAGCCTGGCTTAGGCTTGGTTACAAGTACTTCTGATAGTTTAATGTTGTAGTAGCCTGGCTTAGGCTTGGTTACAAGTACTTCTGATAGTTTGAATGTTGTAGTAGCCTGGCTTAGGCTTGGTTACAAGTACTTCTGATAGTTTGAATGTTGTAGTAGCCTGGCTTAGGCTTGGTTACAAGTACTTCTGATAGTTAATGTTGTAGTAGCCTGGCTTAGGCTTGGTTACAAGTACTTCTGATAGTTTAATGTTGTAGTAGCCTGGCTTAGGCTTGGTTACAAGTACTTCTGATAGTTTAATGTTGTAGTAGCCTGGCTTAGGCTTGGTTACAAGTACTTCTGGTAGTTTAATGTTGTAGTAGCCTGGCTTAGGCTTGGTTACAAGTACTTCTGGTAGTTTAATGTTGTAGTAGCCTGGCTTAGGCTTGGTTACAAGCACTTCTGATAGTTGAATGTTGTAGTAGCCTGGCTTAGGCTTGGTTACAAGTACTTCTGATAGTTGAATGTTGTAGTAGCCTGGCTTAGGCTTTGTTACAAGTACTTCTGGTAGTTTAATGTTGTAGTAGCCTGGCTTAGGCTTGGTTACAAGTACTTCTGGTAGTTTAATGTTGTAGTAACCAGGCTTAGGCTTGGTTACAAGTACTTCTGGTAGTTTAATGTTGTAGTAGCCGGCTTAGGCTTGGTTACAAGTACTTCTGGTAGTTTAATGTTGTAGTAGCCTGGCTTAGGCTTGGTTACAAGTACTTCTGGTAGTTTAATGTTGCAGTAGCCTGGCTTAGGCTTGGTTACAAGTACTTCTGGTAGTTTAATGTTGTAGTAGCCTGGCTTAGGCTTGGTTACAAGTACTTCTGGTAGTTTAATGTTGTAGTAGCCTGGCTTAGGCTTGGTTACAAGTACTTCTGGTAGTTTAATGTTGTAGTAGCCTGGCTTAGACTTGGTTACAAGTACTTCTGGTAGTTTAATGTTGTAGTAGCCATGGCTTAGGCTTGGTTACAAGTACTTCTGGTAGTTTAATGTTGTAGTAGCCGGCTTAGGCTTGGTTACAAGTACTTCTGGTAGTTTAATGTTGTAGTAGCCTGGCTTAGGCTTGGTTACAAGTACTTCTGGTAGTTTAATGTTGTAGTAGCCTGGCTTAGGCTTGGTTACAAGTACTTCTGGTAGTTTAATGTTGTAGTAGCCAGGCTTAGGCTTGGTTACAAGTACTTCTGGTAGTTTAATGTTGTAGTAGCCTGGCTTAGGCTTGGTTACAAGTACTTCTGGTAGTTTAATGTTGTAGTAGCCTGGCTTAGGCTTGGTTACAAGTACTTCTGGTAGTTTAATGTTGTAGTAGCCTGGCTTAGGCTTGGTTACAAGTACTTCTGGTAGTTTAATGTTGTAGTAGCCTGGCTTAGGCTTGGTTACAAGTACTTCTGGTAGTTTAATGTTGTAGTAGCCTGGCTTAGGCTTGGTTACAAGTACTTCTGGTAGTTTAATGTTGTAGTAGCCTGGCTTAGGCTTGGTTACAAGTACTTCTGGTAGTTTAATGTTGTAGTAGCCTGGCTTAGGCTTGGTTACAAGTACTTCTGGTAGTTTAATGTTGTAGTAGCCTGGCTTAGGCTTGGTTACAAGTACTTCTGGTAGTTTAATGTTGGTAGTAGCCTGGCTTAGGCTTGGTTACAAGTACTTCTGGTAGTTTAATGTTGTAGTAGCCTGGCTTAGGCTTGGTTACAAGTACTTCTGGTAGTTTAATGTTGTAGTAGCCTGGCTTAGGCTTGGTTACAAGTACTTCTGGTAGTTTAATGTTGTAGTAGCCTGGCTTAGGCTTGGTTACAAGTACTTCTGGTAGTTTAATGTTGTAGTAGCCTGGCTTAGGCTTGGTTACAAGTACTTCTGGTAGTTTAATGTTGTAGTAGCCTGGCTTAGGCTTGGTTACAAGTACTTCTGGTAGTTTAATGTTGTAGTAGCCGGCTTAGGCTTGGTTACAAGTACTTCTGGTAGTTTAATGTTGTAGTAGCCTGCTTAGGCTTGGTTACAAGTACTTCTGGTAGTTTAATGTTGTAGTAGCCTGGCTTAGGCTTGGTTACAAGTACTTCTGGTAGTTTAATGTTGTAGTAGCCTGGCTTAGGCTTGGTTACAAGTACTTCTGGTAGTTTAATGTTGTAGTAGCCAGGCTTAGGCTTGGTTACAAGTACTTCTGGTAGTTTAATGTTGTAGTAGCCTGGCTTAGGCTTGGTTACAAGTACTTCTGGTAGTTTAATGTTGTAGTAGCCAGGCTTAGGCTTGGTTACAAGTACTTCTGGTAGTTTAATGTTGTAGTAGCCTGGCTTAGGCTTGGTTACAAGTACTTCTGGTAGTTTAATGTTGTAGTAGCCAGGCTTAGGCTTGGTTACAAGTACTTCTGGTAGTTTAATGTTGTAGTAGCCTGGCTTAGGCTTGGTTACAAGTACTTCTGGTAGTTTAATGTTGTAGTAGCCTGGCTTAGGCTTGGTTACAAGTACTTCTGGTAGTTTAATGTTGTAGTAGCCTGGCTTAGGCTTGGTTACAAGTACTTCTGGTAGTTTAATGTTGTAGTAGCCTGGCTTAGGCTTGGTTACAAGTACTTCTGGTAGTTTAATGTTGTAGTAGCCTGGCTTAGGCTTGGTTACAAGTACTTCTGGTAGTTTAATGTTGTAGTAGCCTGGCTTAGGCTTGGTTACAAGTACTTCTGGTAGTTTAATGTTGTAGTAGCCTGGCTTAGGCTTGGTTACAAGTACTTCTGGTAGTTTAATGTTGTAGTAGCCTGGCTTAGGCTTGGTTACAAGTACTTCTGGTAGTTTAATGTTGTAGTAGCCTGGCTTAGGCTTGGTTACAAGTACTTCTGGTAGTTTAATGTTGTAGTAGCCTGGCTTAGGCTTGGTTACAAGTACTTCTGGTAGTTTAATGTTGTAGTAGCCTGGCTTAGGCTTGGTTACAAGTACTTCTGGTAGTTTAATGTTGTAGTAGCCTGGCTTAGGCTTGGTTACAAGTACTTCTGGTAGTTTAATGTTGTAGTAGCCTGGCTTAGGCTTGGTTACAAGTACTTCTGGTAGTTTAATGTTGTAGTAGCCTGGCTTAGGCTTGGTTACAAGTACTTCTGGTAGTTTAATGTTGTAGTAGCCAGGCTTAGGCTTGGTTACAAGTACTTCTGGTAGTTTAATGTTGTAGTAGCCTGGCTTAGGCTTGGTTACAAGTACTTCTGGTAGTTTAATGTTGTAGTAGCCAGGCTTAGGCTTGGTTACAAGTACTTCTGGTAGTTTAATGTTGTAGTAGCCTGGCTTAGGCTTGGTTACAAGTACTTCTGGTAGTTTAATGTTGTAGTAGCCAGGCTTAGGCTTGGTTACAAGTACTTCTGGTAGTTTAATGTTGTAGTAGCCAGGCTTAGGCTTGGTTACAAGTACTTCTGGTAGTTTAATGTTGTAGTAGCCTGGCTTAGGCTTGGTTACAAGTACTTCTGGTAGTTTAATGTTGTAGTAGCCTGGCTTAGGCTTGGTTACAAGTACTTCTGGTAGTTTAATGTTGTAGTAGCCAGGCTTAGGCTTGGTTACAAGTACTTCTGGTAGTTTAATGTTGTAGTAGCCTGGCTTAGGCTTGGTTACAAGTACTTCTGGTAGTTTAATGTTGTAGTAGCCTGGCTTAGGCTTGTTACAAGTACTTCTGGTAGTTAATGTTGTAGTAGCCTGGCTTAGGCTTGGTTACAAGTACTTCTGGTAGTTTAATGTTGTAGTAGCCTGGCTTAGGCTTGGTTACAAGTACTTCTGGTAGTTTAATGTTGTAGTAGCCTGGCTTAGGCTTGGTTACAAGTACTTCTGGTAGTTTAATGTTGTAGTAGCCTGGCTTAGGCTTGGTTACAAGTACTTCTGGTAGTTTAATGTTGTAGTAGCCTGGCTTAGGCTTGGTTACAAGTACTTCTGGTAGTTTAATGTTGTAGTAGCCTGGCTTAGGCTTGGTTACAAGTACTTCTGGTAGTTTAATGTTGTAGTAGCCAGGCTTAGGCTTGGTTACAAGTACTTCTGGTAGTTTAATGTTGTAGTAGCCTGGCTTAGGCTTGGTTACAAGTACTTTCTGGTAGTTTAATGTTGTAGTAGCCAGGCTTAGGCTTGGTTTACGAGTACTTCTGGTAGTTTAATGTTGTAGTAGCCTGGCTTAGGCTTGGTTACAAGTACTTCTGGTAGTTTAATGTTGTAGTAGCCTGGCTTAGGCTTGGTTACAAGTACTTCTGGTAGTTTAATGTTGTAGTAGCCTGGCTTAGGCTTGGTTACAAGTACTTCTGGTAGTTTAATGTTGTAGTAGCCAGGCTTAGGCTTGGTTACAAGTACTTCTGGTAGTTTAATGTTGTAGTAGCCAGGCTTAGGCTTGGTTATAAGCACTTCTGGTAGTTTAATGTTGTAGTAGCCCTGCTTAGGCTTGGTTACAAGTACTTCTGGTAGTTTAATGTTGTAGTAGCCAGGCTTAGGCTTGGTTACAAGTACTTCTGGTAGTTTAATGTTGTAGTAGCCTGGCTTAGGCTTGGTTACAAGTACTTCTGGTAGTTTAATGTTGTAGTAGCCTGGCTTAGGCTTGGTTACAAGTACTTCTGGTAGTTTAATGTTGTAGTAGCCTGGCTTAGGCTTGGTTGTAGACATGAATTAGGTCTCTGTAACTTGATTATTTCATTTACTTGCTTACTTTTATTCACTTGCTCACTTCTATCTTCATTTGCTTTCTCTTATGTTGCTTTCACTTATTTTCTGATGCTTTCTCTTATCTTTGTTGTTATATCTTATCTTCTGGTGCTTTCACTTATCTTCTGTTGCTTTCACATATCTTTTCTTGCTTTCACTTACGTTGCTTTCATTTGTCTTCCGTTGCTTTCTCTTATCTTTTGTTGCTTTCACTTTATTTTATGTTTCTTTTACTTATCTTCCGTTGCTTTCTCTTATCTTTCGTTGCTTTCTCTTATCTTCTGTTGCTTTCACTTATCTTTCGTTGCTTTCTCTTATCTTCTGTTGCTTTCACTTTATCTTCCGTTGCTTTCACTTATCTTCCGTTGCTTTCTCTTATCTTCTGTTGCTTTCACTTATCTTCCGTTGCTTTCACTTTATCTTCCGTTGCTTTCTCTTATCTTCTGTTGCTTTCACTTTATCTTCCGTTGCTTTCACTTATCTTCCGTTGCTTTCTCTTATCTTCTGTTGCTTTCACTTTATCTTCCGTTGCTTTATCTTGTCTTCTGTTGCTTTCACTTAATCTTCCGTTGCTTTCACTTTATCTTCCGTTGCTTTCACTTATCTTCCGTTGCTTTCTCTTATCTTATGTTGCTTTCACTTTATCTTCCGTTGCTTTCACTTTATCTTCCGTTGCTTTCACTTTATCTTCCGTTGCTTTCACTTATCTTCGGTTGCTTTCTCTTATCTTTTGTTGCTTTCACTTATCTCCTGTTGCTTTACTTATCTTCCGTTGTTTTCACTTATCTTCCATTGGTTTCACATATCTTCCGTTGCTTTCACTTATCTTCTGTTACCTTATTATTGACTAACCTCCTTCACTTTGTCTTTCACTCTTATTTTCTCTCCCTCCTCTCACTTTCCTACGTTCTTACTCTACTCTCCCTCACTTTCTCACTTTCTCCAACATAGGTGGGAATTTCACTCTCCCTCACTCTTTCACTTTCTCCAACACAAGTGGGAGCCTCACTCTCCCTCATTTTCTCACTTTCTCCAACACGGGTGGGAGCCTCACTCTCCCTCACTTTCTCACTTTCTCCAACACAGGTGGGATCCTCACTCTCCCTCACTTTCTCACTTTCTCCAACACAGGTGGGAGCTTCACTCTCCATCACTTTCTCACTTTCTCCAACACATGTGGGAGCCTCACTCTCCCTCACTTTCTCACTTTCTCCAACACAGGTGGGAGCCTCACTAACTTTGTTTCTCCAACACAGGTGGGAGCCTCACTCTTCGCCAGTAACATAGGCTCTGGCCACTTCATAGGCCTAGCTGGTTCCGGAGCCGCAGCTGGCATTGGTGTAGCTGGCTTCGAGCAGAGTGTAAGTATGGTATACTGTGTGTACCTTGTGCTTGTGTGTGTACTTGTGTATATTTTGTGTATTTGTGTGTGTTGTGTGTTCCTTTGTATGCTGTGTGTGTCTGTGTATATCGTGTGTACCTCTGTATATACTGTGTACCTCAGTATACCTGTGTATACTCTGTATACCTTACATTTCACACGTATACGTGTACGTATTTGTATCTGGGTGTACCTTTGTAAATACTGTGTGTACCTATTTGCATATGTGTATATTGGGTGTTCATATATACTGTGTATGCTTTGTACCTGTGTATTCTATGTATACCTGTTAATAATGTGTATTTGTATATACTGTGTACGTCTGTATACATTGTTCGTGTGTATGTCTGTGATACTGTGTGTACCTCTGTGTATTGTGAATATTGTGCGCACCTGTGTATGTGTATAATGTATTTACCTGTGTAGCTATGCGTGTATGTGTATACACCTAGAACACTTTTGTATACGCAGTGTGTATACCTGTGTGTATAACGTGTATATTCCAGCATACACAACATTCCTCAAGAAATCGTAATGACACGATTGCAAATAAACCATACCCCCGGCCGGGATTGAACCCGCGGTCAGAGAGTCTCAAAACTCCAGCCCGTCGCGTTAGCCACTAGACCAGCTAGCCACAATAAGATTCATCCAACTAGGTATATTTCTACACCATAGGAAAGTTAGCACAGGCACCTCTGTGACCACAAATGCAAGTTTTTACAGACGAATCTCCATTACGATTTCTTGAGTCATGTTGACGGCAGTGAAGGGATTTGAGCTAGAGTTCGTCACGGCCACGCTAGCTGGAGATTCGTCTGTAAAAACTTGCATTTGTGGTCACAGAGGTGCCTGTGCTAACTTTCCTATGGTGTAGAAATATACCTAGTTGGATGAATCTTATTGTGGCTAGCTGGTCTAGTGGCTAACGCGACGGGCTGGAGTTTTGAGACTCTCTGACCGCGGGTTCAATCCCGGCCGGGGGTATGGTTTATACACAACATTCCCTCCACGACAGGTGTTGCCAACACCTCTCACTCTGTCTTCTAAAACGTGTTCAACTGTTGCTCGTACCACACAGGCTGTGTACATCCTGATGCTACTGGGATGGCTGTTCGTGCCGGTGTACATGAGCTCCGGAGTGTACACCATGCCGGAGTACCTCAGGGAGAGGTTTGGGGGCCAGAGAATTCGTGTGTACCTGTCCTTCCTGGCTCTCCTCCTCTATATCTTCACCAAGATCTCCGTCAGTACCTGCGGGGTATCTCTTCTACCTAGTTATTCATCTCTAGTTACCCAGTTGTTGTTTTTTGCACCTAGGTGCCTAGTTCTTCCAGTTAGGTACCTAGTTATGAACTTAGTTATTTAGTTTTTACTCCTAGTTATCTTGTGATTACACCTAGTTAGTTTTAAACTTAGTTACCCTGATTTTAATCTAGTTGCCTAGTTTTGAACCTAGTTACCCAGTTCTTGCACCTAATTACCTAATTCTTGCACTTAGGTTGACCTGTATAATACAGCTGTGTTTACTCTAATGTATCCCCTCTGGTCGACTTGTATAATACTGGGTATATTCACTGTGATATATCCCCTTCAGCTAACCTGTGAAATACAGGTGTACCGACATTCACAAAAAACAGTAATTTAACTTTTAAAGGGGTAGAGGGGTAAGCCAGTGGAAGGCCTCGGTCAGATGACCAAAACTTCCAGTGGTGGACTCGTAGCTCGATTGGTAGCGCACTCAGCTCACACACAGGTCCGGGGGTCGATCCCCGTTCCGGGTGGAAACATTGGGGGTGTTTCCTTACAACATCTGCTGTCAATGTTCACCTAGCCTGGGTGTTAGTCGACTGGTGTGGGTCGCATCCTGGGAACAAAATTAACCTAAGTTGCTAGAAATGCCCTGCATAACCAGGGACTTTCTATTTAGTATGTCACTGATGCCACAGGTATGGTCTGTGTAAGCTGTATTATGTACTTGTAGAAATAATAATAATAATAATAATAATAATAATAATAATTATTATTATTATTATTATTATTATTATTATTATTATAGTTATTGTTGTCTCTGACTTCCCAGGCTGACCTGTACGCAGGAGCTCTGTTTATCCAGTTAGCACTGAATAAGACGTCACCTGAGTGGTTGTACCTGAGTATACTGTTCCTACTGGCTGTAGCTGCTGTCTTCACTATAGCTGGTGGTCTCACTGCTGTGGTCTGGACTGACTTTGTGCAGACCATTCTTATGATCGTTGGTGCCTTCATCCTCATGGTTATATGTCAGTTACTATCTCTTACTACAGTTTTGTTAGTGGTCCAATACTTGTGTAGTATATAAATAAATAAATAAATAATATATAATATATATAATATATATATATATATATATATATATAATATATATATATATATATATGTATATATATTATATATATATATATATATATATATATGTGTGTGTGTGTGTGTGTGTGTGTGTGTGTGTGTGTGTGTGTGTGTGTGTGTGTGTGTGTGTGTATGCAAAACCATGGAAAGGGTGGACTTTGAATCCATGGCGAATGAGCCGTAAAACTGCAGGGCAGTGCGTTAACCACTGGACCACGTGGCAACGATAATATTAATCCAACTAGGTATATTTATACACAATAAGGAGGCTAGCATGTTGTATATATACACCTAGTTGCATCAATTTTATTGTAGCCAGCTGGCTCAGTTAACGCACAGGCCTCTTAACTTTTTGTACCCGCCATGGGTTCACACCCTCACCCATTCCCTCATCAGGTTCAATAAACTGAAAGAGTATCAATATTTCAGCTTTTATTAAAGTTGGAGGGTACGAGTCCCTGGTGGAACGTTTCCCCTACGCTACAGCGACCGTCAGAGCCGTGGACGCACAGAACAACCACTGTGGTGAACCGCCCAGTGACTACATGAACCTCCTCAGAACCATTGAACCGGGCAAGAGTGACTATCCCTGGACCGGAATGATCTTTGGTCTGTCTATTAACTCCATCTGGTACTGGTGTACTGATCAGGTGAGGAGGAAGTTGTTGGCTCTGAAGCCTGTTGACTACACCAGCTTTAGCAAGTTTGTTTTATCGTCTATTTTAGCACTAAACAGAGCTATACTAACTCTGTTCTTGCACTAAACAGAGCTATACTAACTCTGTTCTTGCACTAAACAGAACTATATCAATTCTATTTTAGCTCTAAACAGAGCTATATTAAGTCTGTTTTAGCACTAAACAGAGCTATATTAAATCTGTTTTAGCACTAAACAGAGCTATATTAAGTCTATTTTAGCACTAAACAGAGCTATATTAAGCCCTAAACATCTGATCTTAGCCCTGAACCTCTGATTCTCACCCGTAACATCTGATTTTTGCCCTAAACAGGTGATAGTCCAGAGAACACTGGCCAGCAAGAATATGTGTCACGCTAAGGCAGGCTGTATCCTGGCTGCCTACCTCAAGTTCCTGCCGCTGTGGCTGCTGGTGTTCCCCGGGATGGCTGCCCGGGTCTTGTATCCTGACCGTGTTGCCTGCGCTAGTCCAGAACTATGTGAGAAGATATGTGGCAGCCGCGGTGGTTGTTCCAACATTGCTTATGCTGAGTTGGTGCTTAATCTACTACCCTCAGGTGATTATTATTATTGGTAGGAGTAGTAGTAGTAGTAGTAGTAGTAGTAGTAGTAGTAGTGGTAGCTGTAGTGGCAGCCGCGGTGGTTGTTCCAACATTACTTATGCTGAGTTGGTGATTAATCTACTACCCTCAGGTAATTATTATTGGTAGGAGTAGTCGTAGTAGTCGTAGTAGTAGTAGTCGTAGTGGTAGCTGTAGTGGTAAAAGTGGTATTATCATTGATATTTTTATTATTATCTTTGATATTATCTTATTGGTATTATCATTGATATCATTATAATTATTATTGATATTTTTATTATTATGGTTATTATTATTGTTATTATCATTGCCATTATTATTACTATTGGTATTATCAACAATATTATCATTATTATAATATCATAGGTAAGTACCAAACCCATAAGAGTCATACAAGGCCTGTATGACAGGTACATGAGAGGAGAGGTGGAAATAAATGGTATAAAATACCGACACAATGGAAATATAAACACATATGCAGTATAATGTGATCCTTTATTGACAACGTTTCGCTCACACAGTGGGCTTTTTTTCAAATCACAAACAGATCTGTTTGTAACTTGAAAAAGCCCACTGTGTGCGTGAAGCGTTGTCAGTAAAGGATCACATTATACTGCATATGTGTTTATATTTCCAGAGGAGAGGTACCGTAGCTACAGTACCGGGCAACAAAGCTGACTTTTTCTGTGATCTTGGTTAATATTTGCATTTTGTTGATTGGCTAACGTTAGCATTTATCTGGTTTATATCCGGTTCGAAGGACCAAACTTGGAAATTTTTGATATTGTGAATCTGGTAATAACATTACTAATCTTTATTTCTACATGTATATAATACAAGGTATACAGACCATAGCTAACAATAGTGAAATACTATATAGAAAGCCACTTGTTATGCAGAGCGTTTCGGGCAGATTACGTCAGTTTTGTCCCAGGATGCGACCCACACCAGTTGACTAACACCCAGGTACCTATTTTACTACTAGGTGAACAGGGACAGCAGGTGTCTTAAAGAAACACATCCTAATGTTTCCACCCATGCCAGGGATCGAACCACGGACCTCAGCGTGTGAGCCGAGTGCGCTACCAATTGAGCTCTGAATGTGACACAGTCTTAACTTTGGGTCATTGTTCAAAGGTGGTCACCTTATTTTTGGGTCCTGGATTCCGTTAGTGTACCCGAAATTCTCCAGACAACCTGACCCACACACTGTGAATATATTTATTCAGTATTATACTCGGAAAAGCAAGCTATAAAATGCACGAAAGAGTACGAAGTACTTTAACAAGGCATAACAAGCAAGAGAGAGTACGAGGTGCTTTAAGTCACTGTTAAGAAACTTGAATAATATGTCTTAAGTTAAATAATTGTCTCACCACAGGGTAATATTACTCTCTACTACTGATAAACACACCCTTGTAGGTTTAGCGCTTCTATTTGATTATAATAATAATGCTGATAAACACAAGCATCTTAATTTCTATTTATTACAGAAAGTATATTTTTTCCCCTATTCCTAACAGTTATAATAACAATAATAATAATAATAATAATAATAATAATAATAATGAGGTGTTGACTGTTACAGGTTTATCAGGAATGATGCTGGCCGTGATGATGGCTGCTCTTATGTCATCTCTGACGTCTATCTTCAACTCAGCGTCGACCATCTTCACTATAGACGTGTGGGGGTTACTGAGACAGCGGCTGGTGCACCGGCTGCGTCTCTCAGTCACTCCTTCTGACACCGAACTCCTTATAGTGGGTCGTTTCTTTGTGCTGGCTCTGGTAGCTGTCTCCGTCCTCTGGATCCCTGTTATACAGTAAGGAGGGCCAGGAGCTATATCTGTGTGTGGATCCCTGTTATACAGTAAGTAAGGAGGGCCAGGAGCTATGTCTGTGTGTGGATCCCTGTTATACAGTAAGTCAGGGGGGCCAGGAGCTATATCTGTGTGTGGATCCCTGTTATACAGTAAGTAAGAGGCCAGGAGCAAATGTCTGTGTGTGGATCCTGTTATACAGTAATCAGGGGGGCCAGGAGCTATGTCTGTGTGTGGATCCCTGTTATACAGTAAGTCAGGGGGGCCCAGGAGCTATGTCTGTGTGTGGATCCCTGTTATACAGTAAGTCAGGGGGGCCCAGAGCTATGTCTGTGTGTGGATCCCTGTTATACAGTAAGTCAGGGGGGCCAGGAGCTATGTCTGTGTGTGGATCCCTGTTATACAGTAAGTCAGGGGGGCCAGGAGCTATGTCTGTGTGTGGATCCCTGTTATACAGTAAGTCAGGGGGGCCCAGGAGCTATGTCTGTGTGTGGATCCCTGTTATACAGTAAGTCAGGGGGGCCAGGAGCTATGTCTGTGTGTGGATCCCTGTTATACAGTAAGTCAGGGAGGCCAGGAGCTATGTCTGTGTGTGGATCCCTGTTATACAGTAAGTCAGGGGGGCCAGGAGCTATATCTGTGTGTGGATCCCTGTTATACAGTAAGTCAGGGAGGCCAGGAGCTTTGTCTGTGTGTGGATCCCTGTTATACAGTAAGTCAGGGGTGCCAGGAGCTATATCTGTGTGTGGATCCCTGTTATACAGTAAGTCAGGGAGCCAGAAGGCAGCTGCTGCTGCCTCTCTCCTCGACTGAAGAAACCTACTGTGTAGGCGAAACGTCTCGTAATAAAAATACCTAACTGTTGCACGTGTGTCTTACTTATCAACTTATCGGTAGTGTATACCATTATCATATTTACAATGTATTTTATCTCTACAGGAACTCCAGTAACTCAAAGTTATTCGACTACGTACAGAGTATCTCAGCCTTCCTGGCGCCACCCATCTGTGCTGTCTACTTGCTGGCTCTCTTCTGGCCCAGGACCAATGAACCAGTTAGTACCCCAGTAGAAATAAGTCACTCTGACTTTTTTGGTTTATCCTAGGTTCTCTACACGTATGCTTCTGTGTATGATAATCTGTGTAACTGTATTTGTGTATACCTGAGTAAACTTACTAACACATTATAGTGCACAGGCTTCCATCTAACACCTTATACTGTTTAATACTTAGGCTTCTGACACCTTTGTATAACTAGTTAGTACATAGGATTCTAGCTGACGCCTTTGTATAACTAGTTAGTACATAGGATTCTAGCTAACACCTTTGTATAACTAGTTAGTACATAGGATTCTAGCTGACACCTTTGTATAACTAGTTAGTATGTAGGATTCTAGCTAACACCTTTGTATAACTAATTAATACATAGGTTTCTACCTAGCACCTTTTTCATAACTAGTTATGTTTCGATCACTGTAACAGAGCACTGTAACAGAGCACTGTAACAGAGCACTGTAACAAACTGTCCTGGTTACATTTTTTATGCTGTTTGAGATCTCTACAACAACTTATTTATCAACATTATAAATTATAAAGTTAATTTTAGCATTGCTAGTTACATTAACTTCCACAAACAGGCATTAAAAACTACAACTTTATACTTTCTGCAAAACTAGGTTGAAAAATGGAGTAAAAATACCGACAAGTTGATGATTAAGACACATGTGCAACAGTTGGGTATCTTTACTGTCGAAACTTTCGTCTACACAGTAGACTTCTTCAGTCAAATACAGAGTCAGCAGGTGTAGTAGTGAAATGAAGATGTAATCAGTCCTCTTTGAGGTGGTCAGTCCCTCACCTGCCTGGAGAAGAGTTTAGCTTCATGGAACTGAAGCATCAGAACGGAGTCTTAAATACTGTTAAGGATTTGTTAATTTAGGAAAATAACCATGAATAAATTTTATTTAAAAAAAAAATAGATTTTTTTCACAATTCTTAAAAATTTTATTTTATCTATGGTGTATTTTCTAACTGTCTTTTTTCGACATTGTTCTATGGAAGTCGTTTTTATGAGTTATAAAAAAATATTGATTTAGCATCACCTGAGAAACTCTTCTCCTCCCAACCGGTTTGAAACCACAATGGCTGTTTTTTTTTTTTTTTTTTTTTTTGGGGGGGGGGGTGAAGTTTATCAACTGCAAGAGAGTCATTAAAACTGCATATAACCTGTACGTCACTAGTCAACAATATGTTAGGTAAAAGGCCGCAAGTGCAACTAATGTGCCATTTTATTGTGGGAACGTTTCGCTCTCCAAGAGCCTAGTCAAGCCGAAACGTTGCCACAGTAGAATGTCACATTAGTTATAGATGTGTCCTCTCACCTAACATATTGTGGGTAATTTGACCAACATTATTACAAGAATACTTTAATACCTAAAATGTGGATTACAGAAACCTCAGTGTATATCCACTAGAAGACACACACGTCTCTGTGTATATACTGAGAGAGACAGTTCTTGATCCAGTATATACACAGAGATTCACGTCTTTTTGAGTATATACACTGAGACACAACTCGCTGTTTAATCTAAAGTATACACACTTCCCAGTGTGTATATCTTAAGTTACTCTGAGAGATATGATGCATAAAAATTATCAGTATACTGTAGTTCAATATATTTTATCTGTGAATAATACACTGGTATCTTATTCCCGAAATAATGGTACGTAGGTGTTGCATATGTACCTTTGTGGATGTATGGTTCAGAGAACCGACATGTTGATAAATTAGACACATGTGCAACTCTTGGGTATCTTTATTGAGGAAACGTTTCGCCACACAGTGGCTTCATCAGTCCATACATAGGAGAAACTTGAAGAACAGGAGGAGAATGAGGTAATCAAGGCTGAGGGACTGATTACCTCATTCTCCTCCTGTTCTTCAAGTTTCTCCTATGTATGGACTGATGAAGCCACTGTGTGGCGAAACGTTTCCTCACTAAAGATACCCAAGAGTTGCACATGTGTCTAATTTATCCACATGTACCTTATTCATCTACCTGTCGATCGCTAACGCACTCAGCTCACACACTGACGTCCGGGGATCGATTCCCCTGGTGTTATTTTCATATAGTCGGACTTGAGTCCTGGAAATGGGAAGTACAATGCCTGCACTTTAAAGGAGGGGTTTGGGATATTGGCAGTTTGGAGGGATATGTTGTGTATCTTTATATGTATATGCTTCTAAACTGTTGTATTCTGAGCACCTCTGCAAAAACAGTGATAATGTGCGAGTGTGGTGAAAGTGTTGAATGATGAAAGTATTTTCTTTTTGGGGATTTTCTTTCTTTTTTGGGTCACCCTGCCTCGGTGGGAGACGGCCGACTTGTTGAAAAAAAAAAAAAAAACCTGGTGTCCCTGTTCAACCATCAATAAAATAGGTACCTGGGTGTTAGTCGACTGGTGTGGGTCGCATCCTGGGACAAAATTGACTTAATTTGCGGGAAATGCTCAACATAACGACTTTCTATACAGTAGTATGTCACTGATGTCAGCTATGGTCTGTATACCTTGTACATGTACCTGTAGAAGATATTATTATTATTATTATTATTATTATTATTATTATTATTATTATTATTATTATTATTATTATTATTATTATTACTGTTACTATTATTAGTATCAATAATGTAATAGTGATTGATAATTTCACTTATTTGTTGTGTTTTGACAGGGCGCCTTTTGGGGTCTGATGATTGGGCTGGCCATAGGATTGCTACGATTCATCCTGGAGTTCTCGCACACCATCCCTCCCTGCGGATCAAGTCAGTATTTACATCCTCGTAGATGACCTGGTGATACAGACACACTCTGGGAAGGGTCACCTGTGCGCAGTTCAGGACAGTAAGGGAAACATTTGGCCACGAATGGTTTCATCAATCCCAGGATTGATGTAGCCACTCGGAGCGAGACGTTCTCTCTAATCAATATTCTAAACTGTGTACAATTATCCATTTCCACGATGTTTCCATCTTTCTCTTCCTTGATTTATATAATATCCCCCCCCCCGTTGTTTTTCATTGTATATTTCCCTGCGTGCACTTACTGTGCAGAAATTATTAATATTTCTTACTATCAGCTACGTTAAGTTAGGTAAGGTTAAGTTTGGTTAAGTTAACATATGTTAACATAATTCTATATAAATCCTACAAGGTGGGGGATTGTAGACTACAACTATTATTAACTTGGGATCTTTGTTATGATTGAGCTAATTTTATGGTCATTGTTCTCATTACTTCCCATTTCTGCTTTTCTTGAAACTATTCGTTCCTCCTCTGACTGTTTCTTGCATCTTCCTCAACACTTACTTTTATGTTTCACATATTTCCTCTTTTAGCTTTGTAATAGCTATCATAACTAACATTTTCTCTGCTATTCTTTCATTTCAATACATTTGTTCATGTTAAGGCATTGGCTTAAGCCGGTGGGAGAATTGGACCTGCCTCACATGGGCCAGTAGGCCTGCTGCAGTGTTCCTTCTTTCTTATGATTCTGTCTGCGTTAGTGTGACAGCCTCTGGTATTACTACTAAGTTATGGTATGTTATGCCCTGTGTTACTGCCACTTGCTCTAGTATTAAGTGGGAGGTGGTCGAGTTTCTCCTTCCATGGGTATGGGCTGCGATCATATGCTGGATGAGTTAGTAAATTTATTTAGGCACAGGTATACATATGTAAGCTTGCAATGTTGCAGAAAGGAGGTCCAATCAAATACAATCACAGGAAGCGCCTTTGATGGAACTTCTCCCGTGGTCTTGCATCTTGTATCGCTTGTTCACGATATTTGCATTCAGCTTGATACAGTGTTTGTACAAAGGTGAATGACATTTGAGTGTACAATCTGAAAGCCCCTATACATGCAGAGCATTTTGGGCAAACTTAAGATTAATAAAACATTAACAATATAAGTAATTTTATACATGCAGTCACTTGGGTGAGTGTATGTATAAATTTAGTTTACAGTAATCATACAGTTATTATACATAGCAACTTATGTAAATAACCTGGTGACTTATTCCCATCGGGATGACTCGCGAAATCGTAATGACACGATTGTAAACAAACTATACCACGGGCGGGGATAGAACCCGCGATCAGAGAATCTCAAAACTCCAGACCGTCGCGTTAGCAACTTGAGGGGACTTGAGCTAGAGTTCGTCACGGCCACGCTAGCTGGAGATTCGTCTATAAAAACTTGCATTTGTGGTCACAGTGGTGCCTATGCTAACCTTCCTATGGTGTAGAAATATACCTAGTTGGATGAATCTTATTGTGGCTAGCTGGTCCAGTGGCTAACGTGACGGTCTGGAGTTTTGAGACTCTGACCGCGGGTTCTATTCCCGCCCGTGGTATGGTTTGTTTCCCATCGGGATCCTTATTGTTCTGTGTTGTGGTGTGATGTAAAGCCACAGATGTCACTCAGTCACTGTCTCTTGCAGGTGATCCAGATCCAAGATCAGACTTCGTCAAGGTGATAGTTGGACAAGTTCACTATCTTCACTTCAGCTGCTTCCTCTTCCTCATTACTGGGGCGGTCGCCGTCTCTTTCTCCCTGTTGACTGAGCCCATTCCCGAGGACCGCGTGAGTATCCCACCATATGCAGTCACAGATATTCCAATCTAGAAGTTGCAAAACACACACAAAAGATACATTGAAAAATTGGACACATTTGCAACATATTGGGAATCTCAATTGTGGAAACGCTTTTGCCAACAAGTGGCTTCCTCAGTCCGGTACAGATACGAATAATAATAATAATAATAATAATAATAATAATAATAATAATAATAATAATAATAATCTTTATTTTTACATGATACAACGTGTTAGGTTGAAAATGGTATAAAATACCGACAAGTTGAAGATTAAGATACATGTGCAACAGTATCTTCTTCAGTCAAATACTATATAGAAAGCCCTTTGTTATGCAGAGCATTTCTAGGTTGATTTTGTCCCTAGAACGATAGAGCCTCTAAATCGCTGGGAACGGGTAAAATCTCTCGATTTGTACTCCCTGGAGCGCAGGCGAGAAACATACATGATAATATACACTTGGAATATCCTAGAGGGACAAGTCCCAAATCACTCCCTGCGAAAGCAAAAGACTCGACAGGAGATACAACATTCCCCACAATGAGAAGCAGGGGCCCCATAAATACGCTAAGAGACAACACAGTAAGTGTCAGGGTCTCAAGACTGTTCAACTGCCTCACAGCATACATAAGGGGGATTACCAATAGACCTCTGGCTGTCTTCAAGAAGGCGCTGGACAGATACCTAAAGTCAGTACCTGACCAGCCGGGCTGTGGTTCGTACGTCGTTCTGCATGCGACCAGCAGTAACATCCTGGTTGATCAGGCCCTGATCCACCATGAGGCCTGGTCACGGGCCGTGGGGGCGTTGACCCCCGAAACCCCTTCCAGGTAAACTCCTGGATGCGACCCACACCAGTCAACTAACACCCAGGTGGAACATTAAAATGGTATAAAATACCGACAGGTTGTTAGGTAAGACACATATGCAACAGTTAGGTATCTTTATTTCGAAACGTTTCGCCTACACAGTAGGCTTCTTCAGTCGAGTACAGAAAAGTTGATAGAAGCAGAAGAGACTTGAAGACGATGTAATCAGTCCATCACCCTTAAAGTTTTGAGGTAGTCAGTCCCTCAGTCTGGAGAAGAGCATTGTTCCATAGTCTGAAACAATATGGAGTTGAAGTGACAGGATGGAGCCTTATATAGCGCCAGGAGGTGAGACGTAGGTCAATAGTAGAAGTAAGAATGCAGATGTTGGGAGGTCAGGTCCCTCTCAAATCAAGCCGTTCTCACTAGTAGAGGTTGTCGAAGTTGATTGCAGGTCTGTACCAAGATACCCTTGTGTTGCAGTGTCTGACAGATTGAACATTAAAATGGTATAAAATACTGACAGGTTGTTAGGTAAGACACATATGCAACAGTTAGGTATCTTTATTTCGAAACGTTTCGCCTACACAGTAGGCTTCTTCAGTCGAGTACAGAAAAGTTGATAGAAGCAGAAGAGACTTGAAGACGATGTAATCAGTCCATCACCCTTAAAGTTTTGAGGTGGCCAGTCCCTCAGTCTGGAGAAGAGCATTGTTCCATAGTCTGAAACAATATCATAGTCTGAAACATTATATTCAATGTTAAATATAATTGATTTGTGGTCGCTAGCACCGAGTTCCTCTGAAATTTTTAAATTATTAACAAGGGATTCATTGTTTGCCAGAACTAAGTCAAGCAGGTTATTTCCCCTTGTAGGTTCTGTCACAAACTGCTTCAAAAAACAATCCTGAACTACTTCTAAGAAGTCGTATGATTCTAAATTCCCAGTCAAGAAATTCCAATCAATATGACTAAAGTTGAAGTCTCCTAGAATTACTATATTATCGTACCTTGTTACCCTAACAATTTCCTCCCATAGTAGTCTCCCTTGGTCCCTATCTAAGTTTGGGGGATGGTATATCACACCTAAAATCAATTTTTCATGCCCCTCTGAAAATTCTATCCAAACAGACTCTGTATGTGTTATTTCAGACTTAATACCCGTTTTTATGCAACAGTTCAAGCGATCTCGGACATACAGTGCCACCCCACCTCCCTTCCCGATACTTCTATCTGCTTGGAACAATTTAAAGCCCTGAATGTGACATTCTGCAGGCATGTCCCGACTTTTTGAATTAAACCACGTCTCAGTTATGGCAAATACAACAATGTTACCTGCACTAGCAGCTAATCTCAATTCGTCCATCTTATTCCTAGCACTACGGCTATTAGCATAATATACATTGACTCTCCTTTCTCTTTACCCTTCCTGCTCATTTCTGTTTTTCTACTAAACCTATTACTGTCCTTATCACCTAGTGTCACTGGCTTTTCAATATCTACCTCGTTCCGCTTATTACTACTTCCCCTAGAACTCGTAATATTACTACACTGGGACTTCACTGTTTTCCTGCCAAAACCCATACCACTAACTATTCCTAGTTTAAGGTCCTAACAGCTCCCTCCACTGCAGTTGCCAGTGCCCCCACCCCAGACCTAGATAAATGAACCCCATCCCTGGCATACATGTCATTTCTGCCGTAGAAGAGGTCCCAGTTGTCAATGAATGTTACCGCATTTTCCTTACAGTATTTGTCCAGCCAGCAATTGACACCAATTGCCCTGGACAACCATTCATTTTCAACTCCTCTCCTTGGCAAAATACCACATATGACAGGGTTCCCACCCTTCCTCCTAATTATTTCTATTGCTGACCTATACCTGCTAATCAGGTCCTCACTCCTACGTCTGCCAACATCATTGCCTCCAGCACTGAGACAGATAATAGGATTGCTCCCATTACCTCTCATGATGTCATCCAGATGGCTAACAATATCCTCCATCCCAGCCCCAGGAAAGCAAACCCTCTGCCTCCTACTCCTGTCCTTCAAGCAGAACGCCCTATCCATGTACCTAACTTGGCTATCCCCAACAACAACAACATTCTTACCTTCTTTGGTGCCGTTTGTCGTGACGTTCCCAGTAGTCGACTCACATTCGTCGGGTAGCACCGAGAATGCATTAGATGTTTCCACAACAGTTTCCACAGCAGTCTCTTTCTTGTTCATCGTTTCTACCTTTCCATTCGTCTTCTTGATCGTCAACTTCGTTCCATGCTGTCCAGCCACTGACCACATTCCCTTCTTGACCTGAGGACTCAAAACAGGAGGACTACTACGAATCTTCTTGTTTTCCTCGGTCAGTCGCCGAATCTCCATCTTCGACATCCTCAATTCTTCCTTAAGCTGTTGGTAAAGTTGCTCGATGGAGGGCATCTTGGTTCAGTCCGTAGAGAGCACACTCGACACGTCCTCGCTGAGCTAAGTACAGGTGAAAGATGAGAAGGAGTTTACGGTAATCAGCTTGCATCTTCGTGCCGAACTGAGGAAACCTCTTATTGACAAAACATTTCCACAATAAAGATTCCCATATGACTCACGAAATCGTAATGACATGAGTTCGTCACGGCCATGCTAGCTGGAGACTCGTCTGTAAAAACTTGCATTTGTGGTCACAGTGGTACCTATGCTAACCTTCCTATGGTGTAGAAATATACCTAGTTGGATGAATCTTATTGTAGCTAGCTGGTCCAGTGGCTAACGCGTCGGTCAGGAGTTTTATGACTCTCTGATCGCGGGTTCTAACCCCGCCCTTGGTATGGTTAAGATTCCCATATGTTACACAAGTGTCGTAGTCTTCAACTTGTCGGTTTTCTAACCAATTTGCATCATAAATCGAGATATTGTCTTCGTTGTGTCCAGCCGGCATTTGTTTCTTGGCTTTGCTGTCTAAAGCCTATTACTACAAATAACAAGTAGGCTCGTCTCTGAAATCATAAATATAAATTTACTTTTGCTGGTAGTCTGAGGCATGACTGGAAAAATACGCTGACTTTGCTAACTCTAAATAAAGCTTATGTTTGCACTAATGACACACGAAATCGTAATGACTCGACGTTCTGGAGTTTTGAGACTCTCTGACCGCGGGTTCAATCCCGCCCGTAGTATGGTTTGCATTAATAACTCATTGCAGTTGTAAAGTAAAAGGACATAAGTGCAACTAATGTAACATTTTACCGTGGCAACGTTTCGCTCTCCAGGAGCTTTATCAAGTCATTACGTATTGCAATTGTGATCAGGTGTAGACGTGTGAATGGTTCATTACTTTTGTAAATTGTTCAGCTATCAAAACTTTGAGGCCCAGTCCCTAGGCCCATTATGTACCTCTTTAATGTTGAGGTACAGTCCCTGGACCCCATTATGTACCTCTGTAATCTCTTTGACTACCGCCCACAGGATGGGTATGTGGTACATGACATGCGACACATATATTGTATATGCTAGAGGCACAATACCCTGACTGGAACAATACTCACATAACCCACACGTACTCAAATTCAATTGAAAAATTTATTTCTTTGCAATGTGTAGTTTACAAGTCGTAAATTATTGTTAAGCACAAAGAAAGCCATTAACATGCATGAGCATTACACAAATAACCCGCACATAAAAGAGAGAAACTTACGACGACGTTTCGGTCCGACTTGGACCATTGACAAAGTCACACTAACAGAGGTGGAGCAGGACGGCTATATATAGGTGTATCGTTCCAGTCACGGTATTGTGCCTTTTTGTTATTTATGCATGAGCATTTCGGGCAGAAGCTTATGACGACGTTTCGGTCCGACTTGGGCCATTGATAAGTCACACTGTGATTTGTCAATGGTACAAGTCGAACCGAAACGTCGTCCTAAGCTTCTTTCTCCTATGTGCGGGTTATGTATTGCATATATTAAAAAATAAACAAATCGCTTGTTTCGCACCAAAGAAAGGTGATGTAAAGAAGGAAAACAGAGTCGTCCATTACTCAGGAAGACCCGGGGCAGGACTCGTCCTGGAAACCCACAGCCTTTTATTTTTAGTCTTCCTTGATAATGTGAGACATCGAAAGTGATTGGAAATTCACTATTTTTTTTAACAGTGGTTATTTTGTATACTGTGGTATTGCCTGTTTACTGTGAGCTTATATGTCGTGCCGAATAGGTAAAACTTGCGATTTTGGCTTAAATAACAACTCTCTTCTTGCCGAATAAGGCAAGCGAAAATTTGTGTATGCAATAATTTCGCAAAAATCATTCTGAATCTAACGAAAAAAAATATTTCTTTGTGTTTGTTTATTATTAAATTATTGTAAACTTATCTAAAATATATTTAGTTGAATTAGGCTAAATTAAATTGCGCTTGTTATAATAAGGTTAGGTAAGTTTCCTAAATTTTTTTTGGTACAAAATTATTAATTTTGACATTAACATAAATGAAAAAAATCTTTAAACTTATAAGAGAAAATTTTAGGACTTAATTATAAGGAGTTCTTGCTAATTGACCAGTTTTACCTATTCTGCACGACATATATATGTCTAATTTCTTGATAATTTGTGCCTCAGTTGTACCGACTGACGTTCTGGACACGACGGGATCCAAGAGTCAGAAGACCTGTACAAGAGATCGTCTCTAATGGAACTGAACAAATGCATATGGAAACCCCTCAGTCAGGTACCGTAGTGTTATTATTTACAGTATGATTTGTATACTTTAGCATAGTTTATATACAAGCCAGAATAACACATTCATGTATTGTACTTGTCATCCAGTATCTCTAAGGGCCTTGTCAGGAAACCCGAGGTTGTTTGAGTATCTTTTTAGGGTAAACTGTGACATTGTTTGCTTTACCGGGTAACTATTCCCTAGACTTTTTTTTCACCACTGAAAATACAATGAGAATTTTTATTCTACATCAAATTATTCCAAAGCCCAGCCTTATCCTAGGTATACTGCTATTCCTCCAGGATGCAAACCAGAGCAGCCAGCTAACACCGAAGTAGGTGCTTCGTAGTAACAGCAAGAGGTGGAAGGAGAGTTAGCCAAACGCCTCCACCCGCGCATAGACGTGTAGATAATTCATTACCTTTGTAACTTGGTAATAATTGTGACCAGATCTGCCTGGAGTTCATTACCTTTGTAACTTGTTCAGCTATCATAACTTTGCGGCTCAGTTCCTGGACCCATTATGTACCTCTGTAATATTTTGACTACCACCCACAGGATGGGTATGGGGTGCATAATAAACATATAAAAGTAATTTAACTCCACCCGGGCTAGTATTGAACCCGGGTGTTCTCATTGTGAGTCAGAGGTTCTGCTATTGAACAGTGATATTTATTCTCGCTATAAGACGTTCAGATTTGTGCTCCAAGCATTATAGTTCAGCAGACTTCACCACGTTGCAGTTTTGTCACGTCATTACCTCTGTAACTTGCTCAGCCATCAAAACTTTGAGGCCCAGTCCCTGGACCCATTATGTACCTCTGTAATCTTTTGACTACCGCCCACAGGATGGGTATGGGGTGCATAATAAACATATTAAACTAAAAGACGTCTTGAAGAAGCAATGGTGGTTCATTTTTCAAACTTGCTCAATATATGAAGTGTACCGCATGTTAGTGCCTTTATTCTGTGTCTAAAAATATTGTATTAGATGTGAATTACATTATTTGTATACTGCAGAAAAACTGTAAAATATTTGTATTAAATCTCTTATGACTTTTTGAAATGTTGACAGACCTATACTTCTCAGCCTTTCTTGGCCTTGTTCAACCCTCGAGGGAGGTTTCTTGATGCTGGTGAGGGGCTCTTGATTTAGGTATTGGATCTGTGCTCCAGTTTCCTGAATTAAGCCGGAATACCTTCCATATCCCCCCCCATCCTTTCCTGGAGCTGTATAATCCCAACGGGTTTAGCGCTCCCCATAACAATTGGCGTAGTTTAAATGTAGATTTCGCTGTAGAAATCAAGTTTTTCCATGATGCGTCTTTCCATGATACGTCTTTCCATGATACGTCTTTCCATGATACGTCTTTCCATGATGCGTCTTTCCATGATGCGTCTTTCCATGATGCGTCTTTCCATGATGCGTCTTTCCATGATGCGTCTTTCCATGATACGTCTTTCTGTAGATATGATCTCAAAAATGCATGAGTTTTCTTAGCAAGAGTTTGCCAAGGAGTAATTGTTTTTATTTTCACATTTAAGTTCGGTTATATCCAGAGTGTGTAGTTCACCTTCCCTTACATTGGCGCCACTTTCTGTTGTGCTGTTGTCAACATTTGGTAGACTCTTACACAAAGAGTTTTTATTCTTTATATGAATATTGTGCATTGTTACAAGTCTGAAGATGGTCTCTGTCAACGGTGTTTTGTTGAGCTTGTAGATGCAGATGTATTGTTGTGTACGAATGGTATATAATACCGACAAGATGAGATTAAGACACATGTGCAACATCTGGGTATCTTTATTGTAGACGTTTCGCCATCCAGTTTTCAAGTTATGTCCTAGAATTTGTATTGATAAAGCCACTGGATGGCGAAACGTCTACAATAAAGATACCCAGATGTTGCACATGTGTCTTAATCTCAGATGTATTGTGTTTTGGAGAATATCGTTGAGCTTGTAGATGTATTGTGTTTTGGAGAATATCGTTGAGCTTGTAGATGTATTGTGTTTTGGAGAATATCGTTGAGCTTGTAGATGTATTGTGTTTTGGAGAATATCGTTGAGCTTGTAGATATGACAGTTCATGTTTACTTGGAGTTTTTGTTATTCTGTAATTTTATATTTTTTAATGACGTTCGTGGATTTTTCAGTGTTATACGCACTTTATTTAAGAACATAAGAAAGAAGGAACACTGCAGTAGGCCTACTGGCCCATACGAAGCAGGTCCAATTCTCCTACCTATTCAGGTCCTCGCCCGGAGAAGTTGTGCATAATATTCTTAGTGAAATACATAGATGTTAATTATTTCACTATTACATTAAAATTGGGATGTTCTCGATTTTTTCCAACGGTCTGATCACTCAAGCTGTTGGTATTCACCTCGTCAAGTATTATAACACACTTTTCCCTACAGAGTTGCCAGCGTGGAGGCGCTACCTCAACATTGTGTGTGGCACCTCTGGCAGCAGTGCCGGCCTTACAGAAGCTCCTCAGCTACAGCTGAGCGAGGAAGAAAAGGCCGAGGCAGCGGCTGCCTTCCTCGATGAACCACCCTACTGGAGGAAGTAAGTAATGGGTGATTTGAAAGGCAGGAAGATGCCGACAGGTTGTATTTGAGATAGTGAGGAAATACCAACAGGAGGTAAACCCTTGTCAGTTACATCCCAACATTTATCGACCTGAAATTAAGACACATGTGCAACATCTGGGTATCTTTATTATAGACGTTTCGCCCTCCAGTGGCTTTATCAATACAGATTCTAGTCCTTCTGTCTTCAAGTTATGTCCTAGAATTTGTATTGATAAAGCCACTGGATGGCGAAACGTCTACAATAAAGATACCCAGATGTTGCATATGTGTCTTAATTTCGTCTTGTCGGTATTATATACCATTCTTGCACATTTATCGACCTGGGTGTGTGAGCTGAGTGCGCTGACGATGGAGCTACAGGACACAATGTTCTACAACGTGCCTCATTTCTTGAAAAATGTCAACGGTACTACATCTGTATTCAACCAGTTTATTCGATGTTGCTGCCCATAGTCCAGTTTTAAATCTGTCACGTAAATTGAAGTCATCTCTTAATATATTTAATATTCTCAGAAGATTCTGAAACCACAGCCATTCCTAACTTATTCTGACTGCTGACATTTGGATGGTACATAATTCTACTGACCAAAATTATTGTTAATAACTGGTATATTGAACAAGCTTACAATGTTTAGGAAAATCAAGGTTCCATATTTTTTGAGCTAAATTATTCTATACTACTAATAATAATATTGGATATTGCTGCTAGAGTTGAAGATAACTTCGTAATTATTTTCCCCCTCCCAGGTTTTTGAACGTCAATGCCGTGATCTGCCTGGCCTTAACAACATTTATCTGGGGCTTCTACGCATAGCTGCCGTTCCATCGTCACAGCTCTATGTGTCTACAGATGTTTCAACTGTTGTTGTAGGTGGATGGTTTTAGTGTTAGACGCGACGGCTGGAGTTTTGAGACTCTATGACCGCGGGTTCAATCCCGGCCGGGGGTGTGGCATGGAAGGTTTATGGAAATATGGAATGCCTGGTGTGAATGACAGCTGACCTTTAATTAAATTATATATAGAAATAGGCTTAGTAATAGTATATTGTAGGTGGTGTGAAGTGTTAAATGTTATATACTATGAGAGTGTAAGAATTTTGGGTGAATAAGACGGTTCGATATATATCTGGTGAAGTGTGTGGGAGAACTGTTATTGAGAGTGATGAGAGATACACAGTATGATTGAGAACTGTTATTGAGAGTGATGAGAGATACACAGTATGATTGAGAACTGTTATTGAGAGTGATGAGAGATACACAGTATGATTGAGAACTGTTATTGAGAGTGATGAGAGATACACAGTATGATTGAGAACTGTTATTAGAGTGATGAGAGATACACAGTATGATTGAGAACTGTTATTGAGAGTGATGAGAGATACACAGTATGATTGAGAACTGTTATTGAGAGTGATGAGAGATACACAGTATGATTGAGAACTGTTATTGAGAGTGATGAGAGATACACAGTATGATTGCAAAGGAAAAAAAGTGGAATTAGAGATGAAAACAAGTGTTGATTGTTTACTCTGAAGCACCTAGGCGAGTTGTGATAAAAGAAAGTAAGTAGAGATGAAAGACAGCAACTGTACACACCTAGGACGTGTGGAAATAAATGGTATAAAATACCGACACAATGGAAATATAAACACAAATGCAGTATAATGTGATCCTTTATTGACAACGTTTCACCCACACAGTGGGCTTTTTCAAGATCCGTGTGTGACTTGAAAAAGCCCACTGTGTGGGTGAAACGTTGTCAATAAAGGATCACATTATACTGCATTTGTGTTTATATTTCCACCTAGGACGTGTACATGAAGGGTATATAATACCGTCGGTGTGCAACATCTGGGTATCTTTATTTGTAGACGTTGCTTTATCAATACAAGGACATGATATGAAGAATATAGAACTATATACAAAAGATGAGGTAATCAGTCCCTCAGCTGAAGGATTGGTTACCTCATCCTTTGTATATATATTCTTCACATTATGTTCTTGTATTGATAAAATAACGTCTACAGCACAGATGTTGTACATGTGTCTAATTCTACGCACCTAAGACATCTTTATTGCGTACATTTTGGTCGTGGGACGTTGATCCCAAGACCAAAACGTGTTAAAAGAAATATCCTCGCTGTATACACTTGCGCCTCTTCAGCCATGTCGGTATCAGTTTACCTTCAGCCATGTCGGTATCAGTTTACCTTCAGCCATGTCGGTATCAGTTTACCTTCAGCCATGTCGGTATCAGTTTACCTTCAGCCATGTCGGTATCAGTTTTACCTTCAGCCATGTCGGTATCAGTTTAACCTTCAGCCATGTCGGTATCAGTTTACCTTCAGCCATGTCGGTATCCGTTTATACCTTCCACCATGTCGGTATCAGTTTACCTCAGCCATGTCGGTATCAGTTTACCTTCAGCCATGTCGGTATCAGTTTCCTTCAGCCATGTCGATATCAGTTTACCTTCAGCCATGTCGGTATCAGTTTACCTTCAGCCATGTCGATATCAGTTTACCTTCAGCCATGTCGGTATCAGTTTACCTTCAGCCATGTCGGTATCAGTTTACCTTCAGCCATGTCGATATCAGTTTACCTTCAGCCATGTCGATATCAGTTTACCTTCAGCCATGTCGGTATCAGTTTACCTTCAGCCATGTCGATATCAGTTTACCTTCAGCCATGTCGATATCAGTTTACCTTCAGCCATGTCGATACCAGTTTACCTTCTATCTTCAAAAGAAGCTGTGCACTTGAGTTTGGAAAAGGCGTGTGATAGGTTAAACAGGAGTGAGATACGGTTGGTGTCGCAAATAGATAATAGGTAGTAAGTTGTTAAAAGCTTTAAGGAGTTTTTATCAGGAGAATGACACTCAGGAAGGTATGTAGGGTGAAAGAGAATATTTTACATTACAGGTTAGCCTAAGACAAGGATGTGTGTGTGTCAGTGTGGATGTTAAATGCGTTTATTGAGAGGGATATACATTTATATTATTGTTAATGTAGTGATCTGGTAACACAGAAGTTTACATTATATTGGAGTACCCAGTATATATTTCATGCTGTGAGCTGGTAACAACAGCTTACATTACAGCCGGTTAGGCATGTATATATTTATATTCATGTTGTGAGTTGGTACCAGCAGTTTATAATTTGTTGTTAATCGGTTAGACAGTATATATTTATATTCAAGTTGTGAGTTGGTACCAGCAGTTTACATTGTGAGTCGAATACTCACTATGCTGTATATTACACGTTGTGAGTTCATAAGTTTACACTTAAATAATTTACAATAATATGGTTCCTATTTGTTGTTGAGAGATTTACACATCTGTTAGCATTAAACATTTGTAAATTATAATACAGTACTATTAATAAGATTGTAATTCGAACTACTGCTGATCCTTTGGACACCATTGTCCATGTTGCAAAAAAAAATTATGGTTACCAGTGCCTCTATAGTCATTATTCTTATGGTTACCATGTTATTTATTATGTATGGTGACCATAGATAGCCTATAAAATTTATATACAAAAACATTTAATTGTTTAGTATTTTTTATAGTACAATTAAAAATTTTGTGCAAGAAATATTGCTGTGAGTTCCTCGTGTTTATGTGAATCCATATCTTACAAATTATTTTAATAAAGACAATTATTAAAAAAAATATGATTTTCAATATTAATGAAATTTCCTGAGATTAAATAATAATAATAATAATATTTCCTGAGATTCAATAATAATAAAATTTAATTAATTCAGTACCACCTTAAACTAAGACGATTATTATCATGGGGAAGCGTTAAACCAGTGGGGATTATACAACGTCTGTGTGGGGGGGGGGGATGGAAGGCATTCAGGCTTAATTCAGGGAACTAGAGCACATATCCAATTCCCTAGATCAAGAGCCCCTCACTAGCATCAAGGAACCTCCCTTGAAGGGTAAACTAAGTTGAAACCACGTACATGAACACACATGGTTATAATACAGTACATCCCATACACTGTAATATCACACAGTCCATGATTTATTATTATTAACTATTATTAAAATCAAGGGGGAAGCGCTAAACCCGGAGGATTCTACAGCATGAACCAGCCAAAGGCATCGACACCATATCACTTACCATAGTAACCTAACTCACTATGAAAGAGGTGCCTGAATGCCTTCCACATCCCCCCCCCCAGGCGCTGTATAATCCTCCGGGTTTAGCGCTTCCCCCTTGATTATAATAATAATAATAATATGAAAGAGGTAATGTGAGAAAAATATATACCTAAGAACATCACTGCAGATTTAAAAAAAATATGAAGAAAAGTAAGGAGTGTGGAAGCACAGTAGACAAAAAAAAAAAAAACACGAAATTGATCGTTCTGTAGCGGTTTATGAAGTATTGAGTCCTGCTTCCCGATGGAAGGTAAGAATATTTGGCCAAAAGCCGGTAATGAAATAATAAGTTAACTGTTATATCAAGTGGACCTCCCTTTATTTACTACAAGTACATGTACACGGTATACAGTCCTAGCTGACAATGACAACAATGACACTACTACATAGAAAGCCTCTCGGGCAAATTAGGTCAGTGTCCCAGGATGCGACCCACACCAGTCAACTAACACCCAGGTACCCATTTTACTGATGGGGAACATAGACAACAGGTGGAAAGAAACACGCCCAATGTTTCTACTCTGGCTGGGAATCGAACCCAGGCCCTCACCGTGTGAAGCGAGAGCGTTAACCACCAGGCCACCAGAGCCCTTAGGCCCTTAGGTCCTAGTAGCTGTATAGCCCGTGGCTTAGCGTTTCTTTTTGATTATAATAATTAGGTCCTAGTAGAACGGAACACCTACACTCACCTCAGTTCAGTAACTAGCTTCCCGTCAAAACCGTTAGTTAAACATCCGCAGAGCGGAAAAATGGAGCCAGGAAGAAAGAATGAGGTAAAATTGCCAGCGGTGCTCAGGCAAGAGCAAGTCGTCCACACACCAAGCTGGCACAGGTAGACAATGACAGAAGTCGACAGTGGGAGTAAAAACACTGGTAGCAGAGGATTCTTTTAATACAACGTTTTGCCCAAGGCTTGAGCTATTCAAGTCCATCCTTGGGCGAAACACTGTATTAAGTTGATCCTCTGCTACCAGCATTTTCATTCCCACCGGCGCAGAGGCGTATTATGATAATTCTGTTGTGTCTTCTTTCCCTCTGTCGCAGAAATGCAGTACGATTATTCTGCCCTAAATGCCCCGGCATGATAGTTACTTTCCTTGTACTTATTAAACCAAAATTGTAATTACACTTCGTAACCTCTACAAGGAAATAAAATATCTTTTATTGTTATTTATTACGTACGGTAGTTTCTGGGACACCCAAGTGAGAAACACAAGTCGTAACTGCTGAAGAGATTGCTGGTAAGAGACTCCTGCAGCAGCATATGTGACGTACATCTAGCCTCATAGACACCTGCAGCAGCATATGTGACGTACGTCTGACCTCATAGACACCTGCAGCAGCATATGTGACGTACATCTGACCTCATAGACACCAGGTAGAGACCAATCATGGAAACCTAGTGAGGGATGAACACACTGAGTATTGTTACTCCTGATCAGCTGGGTTGTGGTGCATGTGTTAAGTTTATTTAGGTACAGGTAAACGTAAGTACACCTACACAAATTAGCATACGTAGTAACATATGTGTAAATTACCCACCAGGATAACACCCAAAAAAGTCAGACTGACTTATTTTCATTGGGGTCCTTCCTTGTACTTACTTCTACTAGGGTCCTTGATCTTATTTCCAATGGAGTACTTGTACTTATTTACATTGAGGTTCTTGTACTTACTTCCATTGGGGTCCTTGGAATGCGTGTGACTACCACCAACAGCCTGGTTGATCCGACCATCAACCAGAAAGTAAAAAAAAAAAGGGGGGGGTGTACGACTTATCACCAACACGAGGCTTTACCAAACAATTTATATTGCCTCATATAGGAGAAACGTACCAGTAAAGGTCTCCTTTGCTGTGTGTATTTGATTACCATTTGTCATCTATGTCATACTTCCACTATAAGTCTGGATGTCTGGTCTGGGACCGGTCCAAGGGGGCGGTGACCCCCAGATTTTTCTTCAGGTAACCCTTAGGTAGAGGCCACCATCGACACAGACATCCACACAACACTGGTCATGTTAATTAACGTTTCAATGATACTGCATTAGTACATGAGATAAAGATGATAACAAGTAAACTCTGAGTGACTGGCAAGGTACTTCACTCATCAGATACACAGATTAAATATTACATGGTCAATACCTGACCAACCGGGCTGTGGTTCGTACGTCAGCTTGCGTGCGGCCAGCAGTAACAGCCTGGTTGATCAGACCCTGATCCACCATGAGGCCTAGTCTCAGACCGGGCAGCGGGGGCGCTGACCCCTAAAATTCTCTTCAGGTAAACCTGACCGTGGCCTGGTAGGCAACACTCGGCTCACACTGAGTGTCCGTGGTTCGATCCCCGGCTGGGTGAAAATATTGGGCGTGTTCCCTTACAACTACTGTCCCTGTTCACCTAGCAGTAAGTGGGTAACTGAGTGTTAGTCGACTGGTGTGGGTGGCATCCTGGGGGACAAAACTGAAGGACCACAATGGCAATAAGACAAGAGTCCCTCCAAGACGCACTGACCTTCTCGGGTTATCCTGGGTGAATAACCTCCGGGTTAAAAATCCACACAAAATCTTAGTAGTTCTTAGAAAACACTGCTAATACTGGATTCACCTGTGAGACAGTAATAAAACTCGTTTGAGTTTCATAGGTGTAAGTATGCATCCCATACCCATCCTGCAGGTGGTCAAAATATTTGAGGCCCATAATAGGTCCATATACTGGGATCCAGCCATTTTTATCTCATCAATATGTAGTTATGATGAACTAAAATAAATATTGACCTAGAAATATTAATAGACAATTTACACATTCTACACATTCATGATAAGAGACGACTTCAGTATTTATCAGCCACAACGAATTTAGTACAATATCTAAACATTTTTTCTTAATGCTGGATGTAAGTTAACAATGTGATTCTACACTACGAATATAGTTAGAAATACCCAGAGTGTGCTGCTACCTTAACACTAAGTCATAATTCTATAATGGCGGGTCATCTAAGACCTGCTTCAGGGGACACTTGTTCAATTTCCTGACAAACTTTACCGAGGGACTGATTACCTCATCTTTTGTATATAGTTCTACTGTCTTCCTATTATGTCCTAGAATCTGTATTGATAAAGCCACTGGATGGCGAA